ATTCTAAATATTCAGAGTAAACATATTCCTTATAGAAAGAAAAGTGTAGCTGCAAGTAAGAAACCAGGTTGGCTCACAAAGAGTTTAAGAGACAAAATTAAAGAACAGCATCTTAAATTTACGAAAGTTAAACTGACTGGTATGACAGGAGATTTAGAAGATTGCAGAAGATCAAGAAAGTTGGTGAGACAGGAAATTAGGACATCGAAATAGAATGAATGAAAAAAGATGTCTGAAAAGGTAAAAAATTAACAGTAAGGATTTCTTTAAATACATTAAGGGTAAACAAAATGTTAGGATGGGGGTATGATACTTGAGGGATGATAAAGGAAGGTTGGTATCCGATGATTTTGAGATGGCTGGGTTATTAAATTTGGATTTTTCTTCAGTTTTTACTAATGAAAAGTTAAGCAGTATTTCACATCATGAACAGTTGATAGATGAAAACAAGATCAAACAAGATGACTGTATTAATTCTGCGCTGGTTAAGAAATAATTGGGAAGTTTAAAAATATAATAAAGCTCCAGGGCCAGATAATATTTCTTCAAGGGCAGGTACCAAAGGATTGGAAGTTAGCTAATGTAACTCTTCTTTTTCAAGGTAGGTGATAAAAATTGTCCAAGTAATCATAGAACCATTAGTCTTACATCAGTCGTTGGAAAAGTTTTGGAAAGTCTGTTAAAAGTTTAACATTTTATTGGATAGTCAACATAGTTTCATTAAGGGAAATTTCTCACCTTCTTATAAAAATGTCCTTTGTAATTAAATGACATCAGGATCCCGTTTGATACTGTCATCTCTAACATTGGAGGTAAAAAATATGGCCGTACATAAAATTTACGAAGAAACTTTTGTGCAGCCTTTCCACAGTTATTCCTGCATATGATAAAACAGTATAATTTTTTTTTCCTTTTTGCAAACTGTTTTTTTCTAAGTGATATCAAAATTTTTACCGTACAAATTAATTTGAATAAACAAATTAACTACCAAAGTATGAAAGGGTCAATAACTTAGATATACACGGTAAAATTGGCTGAAAAGGAATAAGGCACCAAAATAGAAGCATTTCAGTAACAAATAATAATAAGACAATGACTTGTTTTAGCCTTTAGAAGTTATTTCTAGGGATATACCAATATATCAATAGGCTATCAACCTGATATCAATATAAGGAAAAATTAGATTATCAGCTACTGGTTGTATTGTTGTTGTAGTTGATAATGTACATTGATATCTTTGCTTGTTGTCGCTCGCTGCTCGAATTTCATATTTTTCTTATGATGGCCAAAGTAGTCATCATTACACAACTTTCATCATGACCATGTACCATTCTATGAATGCCACCAGGTTTAATGTTGTAAAGTATTCCAAATATTGATTTTCATAAATCTAAACTTATTAAAATAGTATAGTATATAGTAATGTGTTTGTGTTAGTTTCTTAAAATTATAACATTACATAATGTTTTGGGACAACATGGGACCTAATGGTCCATCTTTGCTGTTCCATCCTCTAAACTAAATTAAAATAATTGAAAAAAAATCTTAAAGCCAGCCTTTATCATTTATATACTTATCAAGCTTTTTCTTAAACTCAGTTAAATTTACTGCCTCTACGACATCTGAAGGCAACACATTCTAAAGGCTAACCACCCTGTTAGTAAAATGAAACTGTTTTGGCTGAAGATGACTCCTACCTTGCCAAAATTTATACTTGTGTCCCCTAGTCCTACTAATCTAACTGTTAAATATGAAAAAAGATGATGCATCAACACTATCAATTCCCTTTGCAATCTTAAACGCCTCAATTAGATCTCCCCTAATTCTTCTTTTGCAAGAGAAAACAATTTGAGATTTTAGCGTTTCCTCCTATGACAACCCCTCCATTCCAAGCACCATTCTAGTAACCCTTCTCATAACCATTTCCAACGATTCAATGTCTTTCCTAAGGTAAGGAGCCCAAGACTGAACACAGTATTCCAAATTTGGCCTAACCAGTGACCTGTACAATGAAATTATAACCTATTTTAGACTTGTATTCAATATTTCTGTAGATACAACCTAAAATCCTATTTGACCAACACTAGCAACAGCACACTGCTTGGATGGCTTTAGAGACTAATTGACTATTACATCAAGATCCCTTTCTTTCATGACACTGTTAAAGTTATTCCCATCCACATTATACTTATAATTCAAATTATGATAACCCAAATGCATTATCTTGCATTTATTATGATTAAAACCCATCTGCCATTTATTTGCCCAACTCACTAAATGATAAATATCCTTTTGTAAATCAGCAATATCTTCTTCACAGCTAGAAACACCCAAGAACTTTATATCATCTGCAAATTTAAGTAATTTATTGATTATTCTTTCCTCAATGTCATTGATGTAAATCAAAAAGAACAAAGGTTCTAAGACTGAGCCCTGAGGTATCCCACTTGTGATATTAATCCAGTTGGACTGAACTCCACTTGTAACAACCCTCTGCTTTCTTCCATCCAGCCACTCTTCTATCCAATTTGATAACTTATCCCCCACACCTATAGAGATAAATTTTTTACAAGCCTTTTATGTGGTACCTTGTCAAATGCTTTCTGAAAATCCAGATACACCAAATATACACACTTACCCTCATCTAAAATAAGCAGTAACCTTCTCAAATAATGTAAAAAATATTGTAACACAAGATTTTTCATTTTGGAGCTAAATATTTAATGAAACTTCCTTTCTTTTTGTAATTACTCTGAAGTAGCCAAACAATTTATTAACTTTTTCAGTTCTCACCCATCCTGAAAAACCACATATGTACCTATCTAACAGCTGCTGAAAACGATGCATGAAACAGCTAGGAATAATATACTTATACTATATAAGATACTTCCCATAATACACCAATGAACAGTACTTTTCTCAGCCACGTACTTGTGTTACTTTGTCTTAACCCTCTCACTACAGGTAGGCCAAAGTGTGCATGTTTTGCCCCCACCCCCGAAAATATTACTGTGGGTGCCCACAATGAAGGACAATGATTGGCTTATCTATGTAGAGTGACAGACTGATTTATCTATAAAGTTACTGTGACAAAGACTTCAGTACCAAACAGTGTCAGTAATTTGGTCTCAATATAAGATTGAGGTGACAGTTAATTCTAATGGGGTGTGAGCTGATATCATGCATAAAGAAAACTCAAGAGATGGTACATAAAATATAAATATAATAATTATAATTAACAAAAATGAAGGAATATGCCATCTAATGATACTGTGTGGCTTGAAAGAAAGAATTCCACCAGTGTATTTTCTGAGGTTTCTATAATTTGCTGTCACTTTGATTCAAAAATATACCAGAAATATAGATGATGTACAAAGCAAGAACCACATAAGCTCTCTGATACATACAGCTCATTCACTTTAGTTCTCTTATGCTGAAGCATTAGAATAAATCTTTAAATCAAAATATCTTGCATTAATTTCACTTCTCAACATATCCTTGATGCTGATATCAATTCATGAACTTCTTACTTATAATTTATGTTTCTAACCATGTAATAGCTAGCATTGATCACATTTTGTGTTTTACAAAATTTTAATCAATTTTCTTTGTATATTTATAACTATTTTAAGTAACGTTTTTCCCTACTATCAACACTAATATTTGTAAATATTTTGTTTTTTATCCTTCTGACTTCCTACAGTTTGTTAGATACATGTTATAAACAAATTAAGCATAACTATAATATTGCATTTATCAGATATGACTTAATGTGGCAGATTTTGTACATGAATTTATGTCAAGTATGCAAAGTGTAAAAATGAAGAGAGTAAAAATGTGAACTAATATACACTTGAAATATGGTTTGACTTTGTAAGAGAGATGAAATGGAATGAGCTATGGCTTAGTGATTAGCATGCTCAGGCTGAATTTAATAGTTCATAGCTAATGTCTGATTGCCACAAAAAATTCATTGTGCACTTTGGAACCATATATGTGCTATATAACTGACATTCAAACCTCATTTGTTGGTTAGATAAGAGTAATCCAAGAGCTGGCACTGGATACTGTTGACTAGTTACCTTCTAGTCTGTTCAAAATAAAGAAGCAATATACAGCTAGTCCTTATGTAGCTCTGTGCAATGTTTAAAAAAACAAATGTAACCAGAAAGACTCATTTGACAAAAAATAAATACAAATACTGAGTGTGATTTAAAAAAAAAATAGTCATTTTAAGAGAGTTCATAAAAATCATTAGCATTAGCAACAATCAGGCACTTAAATGTCAGTATTATAATTAATAATATTTTCTACAAATCTCAAAATTAATTGGTTTGAGAAATGTTTTATGACCTTCTCTTAGAGTTAAGATTTGAAATAGAATTGCTAATATTAAAGGTCAATTGAGTATTAACTCCCAATAAGAGCAAACCACTTACTTAGATGAAAACTAAAAATCAACTCAATAATGAGTAGTGAGTTAATCATAAATCCATATAATAAGCTAACTATGCAAAACAATAATTATAATAAAAGTAAAAGGATAAAATATTAAAATTTATAAAACCAGATATAATAAACATTCCAACCAATACTGTAAATGGAAGATAATAGAGTATACCTCATTAAGAAGCCACACAAACACTAGTTGTTAGCTTGAAGTACTGTCATAGATTTAATGTTTGAACAACATCACATCAGTACGACTGTGTATATCTTGTGACCAATTAATACCCATTAACTGGCTTTGACAGTGCAACTTCAGAAGAGCATGTGATCAAAGATAAATTGACAGAGCACATGTTACTGTTTATGTGTAGCTTCAAGTAGCAGGACAGTACCAGCAGTACAGTCAACTAGTGTTTATGAATATACAAAATAATAATAAATCAGATGAATGCCTGTATCCAGTAGCAGATTAATGGGAAAGCAGACGGGGCTACCAAACAATTTAGGCTAGGATACTGTATGTAAAGAGTGTTGTTAAAAAAAAGGATATGAGGTTTTAAAAATGTTTCTTTTAAATTGGGAGTACTATTTGAAATTTTATTATAGTTATGAATAAATAATTTGATTCAAGCAAGGTTTATGTTGTTAAAATAGGATTAACAATTAAAAATGTACATATACAGAAAAATTTAATTTAATTATAATTATTCACACATCTGTAGACCAAAGTGTTTATTTAACCATGAAGTAACTCATGTCTTGTGCAACAAAATAATATGCATGAGGGGGCACTGTATTATTCACTGTCCTGAGGCCACAAGGTGTCTTTTTTTTTTTTTCAACCATTACCTATGTTGTACAATAAATAACTAGAATATTAGTATTCTAATTAAAATATAACCATGTTAAATGCAATAAAAAGAAAATAGTATATTAAGCTTACTATGAGGTGTGTCTAACACAACTTACTTAACGTTAACTAACCCTATCACTTAACAAAGCACATGGAGTGGGCAACAGAAAATAATAAAGTTAAATCTTTTGTAATAGCCAAAATGTAAACATGGTAAGATTCAAGAAATTTTGATGATAATTATAATGGAAGTTACAACAGTGGTAAATATTACTAAGTAATAACTGGCCAGAACTAATCAAATTTAACTAATGATGTAATGTTATACCATATACATAAGTATTATATAGCTAATTTTAGCTGTGTATAGTAAGAGGGTAACTAATGGGAGGTAAAACTAATGGTGTTTAATACACCAAAGCAGTTCGGTATGTTACGACAATGGAAGTCACACAACGCTGGGAGTATGCATGCTGGAGTTTCTCGAATGATCATGAATTTTCCTGGCAACTCTAGTTTGTTCGAAGCACCCTCTTTTGTAGTATATAAGCCTGGCGAGAAAAACCAGCACGATTGAAGAGATAGATGATTGAGTCAAGCAAACAGTAGGCACCGTAAATAAAGTGTGTGAATCACTGTGATTTATATCGCGTGTTATAAAGGTTGTTATGTTTAAAGTGACTGTAGAAATTCTGTGTACTAAAAATTTGTATCGAGAAAGAATAAACTAGTTTTAATT